TCTCTCTCTCTCTCTCTCTCTCTCTCTCTCTCTCTGTTTAATATTTAACTAACAAACTCATAATTTGTTATGAACAATGTAAGTCACATATACGATAAAAAGTTTCCCAAGTACTATCAGAAAATGTGCCCGATATAAATTTAATATAATGCATGTGTATTATATTATAAGTAACTCAAACTAGTTTATATACTGGATGAGAAAATAACCGTTTTATCTTTGAAGTAGATATAATTATTTTAATATCTAATTAATAGGCATATACTAAAGAAAAGTACATATTATCACCTAGTATTAAAATGTTATAATATTGACATAATAAAATATACGCAACAACAATACAATGTACATGCATAATGTTCGCTGATAATCCACATAGTTCATTGTATAACAATTTGTGACAAAGTTTGTTTAGTTATATAACCACGATGTTTAGTCAAATTAAATAAAATGTAATAAATTATTTGTGAATGATAATTGACAAAATTTAATTGTGCTAAATGTAAATAATTATTGTTTTAATATAAACTTTTACAAGTTGGCAATATTCTAAATTAAATTCTTGTTAGTATATTTAAATTTCAAAGTTACCACTTTGGTTATGGCTTAAAAGTACTAATCCAAACATGTCTTACAAAGTTTAAAACTTGATCATCTTAAGGATTTGTTTTTATAAATTAATCAAGTTTGAAGTGTTTTTTTTATCATAATGGGATTAATTGATTACAATTATAATTGCCTATCTGTCAATAATATTAAGAAAAACTAATATATAAAAGAAATGGTATATTCATTTTACAATTATACTTCATATACAACAATTTAAAATTGCTTTAATTATGAACTGTAAGTAATCTATCTTATTTAAATAGAAAATTAATATTTAACTTTTAATACAATAGATTTACTTTTGATCACGGTGATATTTGGGGCTAGCCTAATTAATTTATCATGGGCGTCAGAATTTTGCCCACAAGACGAGTTAGTAAAACCGTGCGTATGCGAAAAGGATCCTGATACAAACCAACTGACCTTGGTCTGTGACGAGTATTGGATCCGTAACGATGAATTCGATGCACTATTCAAGCGTTTGAGTGGTCGAGGTCTCAATTTTCACGAGCTCATCATAGGCCAAACCAAGATCTATGAGCTAGGTCCCAACCAGTTTCAGGATGTGCAGTTTGAAAAGATTACACTCGACAATCTTAACAAGGTTGAAAGAATTCACAAGCTGGTACGTAATGTTAAAAATTAAAATTAATAATTTGTTTGTTATGGGATAATAATAAGTCCATATTATATAGACTAGGATTGTCGAAGGATGTAACCTCAAGGCTAATAATTAATCTATACAGTGTATGGGGCCAATACAATATACAACCTATATACAGTACTGTATAGATGAATTATTAGCCTTGAGATTACAACCTTCGACAATCCTAATATAGACCATATTCACAGCATGTATGTTATATTAACCTTATAATACATGTATGTTATTTTATGGATAATCCTGGTAATATTCGCAAATAACTATTTAATAATACTTTTACAGTATATAGCATTGTATTGCCTGAAATGCCATAATTTGCTATACAACCTGTGTTTTGCTTTAAAAATTATCATTCTTAAATACGATATAATGTTTTTTTTTAATGTGAACTCAGCATTCTATATACACATTGTATAAATAATAACCTGTTAAAATCTGTTAAATGTTATGCTACTAAATTAACTTGTATATTTATTCAAACAAATTTCTTAAAACATTTAAACACCACAGGCTTTCAATGGAACCGCGAACAATTTGATCTCGTTCAAAAGTCGAGATGCACCCCTGGGCTACTCGACACAGCCGCCCAATTACAACATATACCAGGCGTTGAGTGCGTGCCATAATTTACGGTACATTGACATCGAGGGGAGCGGCTATTTGAGCCAGGTGGACGATCACGCGTTTGAGTCGCTAAGAAAATTGCGCCTGCTCAAAATAACACGCAGTGGACTGCGCAAGATTGGCAAAAACGTGCTGATACAAAGTGTACGGGAATCGGACATCGTGGTCGATTTTAGCAAAAATAAAATCAACGAGATTGCTAACGATGCTTTTAACAATCAACGTGGGTTCTTCTTGAACGTATCGTATAATAAGCTGACCGAGGTGACATTTCACAAGGATGTTTTCCACATTGACTTCTTTGCCCCGGAGGTCAGCCTTGATATACGCGGCAATGCGTTCAAACATCTGCCTGAAGCCACGTTCCAGTGGTTACTTAAGTTGGATGTACTCAAAACAGGGCCCCGTGTGTTGGCCGACCCCCTGGACTGCCAGTCGTGCGCCAATTGGTGGCTATTCAGCGATGATAAGTACGCCCGACATTTCCCCGCCTTTAAGTGCGCCGACGGTTTGGCTTTTGATTATCGCAAACATTTTCATAAATGTTAATTATTAATATGAATATGTATTAAGGTGATTTATATTTTAATCTACATTTTAATAGCATAATTAATTTTAGTTTAAATAAATAACTTGATAATTGTATTTATTGCTTATTAACTTTTATAAGTATTTACAACTATTATAAATATAATTAACATTAATTAAATGTCATACTTTACGTTGTATTTTAATAATTTAGTAATATTTTATTGACCAAAACCTTATAAAATTCAAATCAAAGCAAACCTATAGCAAACCAATAATATATTATCGCAGTTATGTTGCCATTAAAATCTACAGTATAATCAAACTCAATGAGAGTTTAATTTACATTTTAATAAATTGTTTCATAAATTCATAAATACCATATTGAATGGTTAGATGTCATTAGTTTATTTACTTTATGGATATGTTTCCCTGGTGGATGTTTTATGTATTAAGTTGTGTTGGAATTAAAATCGCAAATATGTTTATTTTTACAACCATCTCCACTTCTCCGGTACCGCTAACCTTACGGCAATTTTATGTACTTTATTTTATATTTTATTTTAATATTATATTTTTCAACATTTATAATTTTGATTATGACATTACATAATGTAAAGGTTTTAGTTATAGTTAGTTTAGTTATACAAAACAATTATTAATTTTATTATTTAAATTATGTCAAGTTTATCTAAATTGCCTAGGTCTGATATGCTCCGCAAGTAAATAGAGTAAATTTATTTATGTAACCAATTGTCTAGGTCAATTTAAAAAAAAATAAAACTATGCTTTAATAAAATTTTAGAACACTGTTTAAATCTTTATCAAATAGTAATTATGTAAATGTAATTAAAGTAAATATTTGTTGCATTATTTAATTTCAAGTATCAGAAGTATACTTTCAAGTATAATTTTCACTGTAAATGCAAAAGTATCAATTTGTGTACTTATAAACCCTATTATTAAACTGATAAATTGTATATTTATATATTATCTCAAATAATAAAACACATCATGAACATTTTCATATGATTATGGTATGTTTCTTAGAAATTCTATGAAAAAACAACAATTTTTATAAATATAAATTTTTATTTTACAACATACTGTATATGCATTAAATAGATTGGCAATTATTGAATAAGAATTTTAAATACAAAATTTCTAAATACAAAATTTTAATGAATAAAATGTATAAATGTAGTTGACTTGCTAAAATTAAAAATTATTGTTTACATACAAAGATTTTGAAAATAAACTTTGTCGTATAAAACTGTTGTTCGCATCATTAAAATGCAATATAAACGTGGGAAATATTGCATTGTTATAATTATTGTAACAATTATTGTAAATATGTAATAATATAGTAAAAATAAACTTTATTGTAATTATCTACATGAATTTTTGGCATATGTAAACATTATTTACTGAGGTCATTTCTGGAGAGTTTTTGTACAATTTAATGAAGAAATAATTAAATTAGAATTATCCGTTTAGGAGCTACACTCGCCGCAAGTGTCCTATTTAGTTTCTGTAGTGTGTGTATATTTGTTGTGGTATTTCTATTTTATTTCTATTTGTACTGTGGTGATTGTATTTAAATACGTAATTGCTCATGATGTATGGCCAAGTTTATTTTTCAAATGCAGATTGAATAATTGACGATGATTATTATATGGGGCGCAGGATACCGTGCGTTGGCATCACCAAGCTCAATTTAATGCTTGAGCTGAGATCTCGCGCAATCTAACCGAGCATGGTGGTAATAAAACATTTGAATAATTTTGGATAAAAATTACTTATTTGTGTTAAAAATTTAATAACAAGTTTAATAAAATAATTCTTACAACAACAAAAAAATTAAATTCGTTAAAAATTAAACCTATTACTAAAATATATCATATTTTACAATTAATAATTTAATACACAATATTTTATTGACTTATTGCAACAAAAAAATCATTATTATATTTTAATTGTCAAATTAATATAAAATTATTAAATAAGTATTTTGTATTTATGTTTGTATTAAATTTAACAATTTTACATTATCATATTGTAATATTTTAATCATTTTTTTATCGCGGCATATTTCCAGGAATTATGCCTCCTACGTCCTTATACGTTAGGTAAGTTTGTGATATGTCTGGTAATCCTATGACTAGTCCCTTGATTTGTCCCGCAGGTTCCGGGTTTGGGTATGCGATTTTGGGCATTGGCTTGACTTCAGCTGTAAGTGTTTATAATTACAATAATTAATTATACGTTTATTTTATATTATTGTACGTACGAATTGGATCAGCCAACACGGTATAAGTGCTGATGGTCAATACCGCTGCAATTATCAAGATTATCTCTGTACGCATTTTATTTGATGCTAACCTTACGCTTTGTAATTTATTAATGCGAACTATAATTGTATCATTTTTATGTAAAACAATTATTTTCCCATATGACACCCAGATGTTTTAAGTTTACACTTTATAACGTATGATATTTTGCTTATACCACAAATCTATATAATTAAAACACAAAATAACATTACTGTCTATGAGGCTTATACAAAATAGGGGGCGTCACGGGAAGCGATATAAGTGATTATAGGTAACAATGTTTGTGAACAATACACTATTTGTAAGACAGAGATCACGTGAAAGAAAAACTTCCATTTGGCATTAAGTATCAAATGTATTTCCTACGGACAATGATTAGTAGTCATAACTCAAAAAGTACTGGACCAATTTTTACAATTTATATATCATATTGTACAGAATAAAATTTAAATCGAGACCTGTATCCGGATTTTTCTTATAAATGAGAGGAATCAAAATATACTCATATTTAAAGGGTAAAAATACAATATTCTAAAACCTTGCCATTTAAAAAATACTTATTCAATTTTAATTATCAGTATATCAAATTAATCATAATTGAAAATAGAAAAATATAAATTTTTAGTTTTTAAAAATTCCCATTGTAAACTATATTTTGAACTTAATTTCTAATTTTATATGCAAAAATAAGGCTTAAAATTAAAATATTCGAATTTAAAAAAATTATATTATCCTATAATTATCATATAATTAATTTGAACTAATTTGATATACTGATACTTAAAATTGAATAAGTATTTTTTAAACGGCAAGGTTTTAAAATATTGTATTTTTACCTCTTAAATATGAGTGTAGTTCGATTCGTCTCATTTATAGGAAAAATCCTGATACAGGTTTTAAATAAAATTTTATTCTGTACAATTTGATATATAAATTGTAAAAATTGGTCCAGTACTTTTTGAGTTATGACTACTAATCATTGTCCATAGGAAATACATTGGATACTTAATGCCAAATGGAAGTTTTTCTTTCACGTGACGAGTTGTTAAATGTCTAGTTATTATATAAAACAACCGTCAGGGAAACAGATCGACATATTATATACAATAATGCCATCTAACCATTCAATACATTATTTATTAGTTTGCAAAGCAATTAATTGAAATGCAAATTAAACTCTCATTGCGTTTTTCATAGCGTTTGATTGCAACACATATCCGATAAATACCGCCTAAACATCGACTTCAGTCTCAATAAAAGCTTAATAAAGATCGATGTAATATTTATTGATCAAGTGGTGGCCATGGCATCAGTGGAGCGCTCGGGTATACCCTGGGTATGGGTTTTCAGTTATAATCCATTGTTTCAGTTGTACGACGAGCGCACACCTTATCCCGGCTCAGGTTAGCAACAATTTTGTTATGATTTAATGCGCAACGCAACTTAATGCGCAAAGATGTGCATGCTACTTTTACTTTACTTGAACAACTAGCCAATAAACCAGGCAAATTGATCTATGTGGGATTAGGCTCACTGGTATTATCAGATTTGGAAACATTAAGCGCTTAATGGCATTACTGTCCAAATCAAAGTTTCGGTTTAGTGTGTCAAATGGTCCCCATCATGATTAGTACGTGTTACCGGGTGCTAATATGTGGGGCGAGCGGTATGTGCCTCAGATACAGGTGTTGCCAATAGTGGATCTGGTAGTAACCCATGGTGGTAATAATACGGTTACTGAGACTTTATATTACGGTAAGCCAATGGTTACTAATTTTCCTTTAATTTTGTCAAACTTGTAATTGAAATAAGTTTATATTTTAAATTTCAATTAATTTATCTTCTCATAATATACACAGTCCTGTCTGTACAGGAATGCGATGTATGGTGTTTACAAATTATGATTATCTATAATTATGCTCTGTTGAGAAAATTAGTGTCCAGGTGAGCGTACAGGAAAGTTTACTATAATGTACAGGAATGTCTCGGAATTTATTAAGAAAGTATAGGAAATGTACAGGTTTCTCATTTTTCGAGTTGGTCACTCTAACCGGAAACCTTATTTCAAACTTATACGTATAATATATTTTATATTAGTCACAATTTTTACATACTTTAAACTAGCTCTTCTGGTAATAAGTAAAAAATAATCGACGAGAAGCATAATTCATTTTGAATAGTTTATTACAATAATATTTATTACACAATGTTTAAAACAAAATTTGTTACACTGTAACAAATAGCTAATTGATTGTTCAACATTGTCGGTTAATATGCAGGCTTCATATTGTAATAGTTTAGTCATTCGTCATCTCTCCAAGTCTTTTGTATTTTACCACGGTTAGTACGTGCACTGCCCTCATCCTCAACTGCTTTATCAAATGCATCATCGTCATCATTCTTAGCTTTATTGATCCGTTTAGCCTCGGGTTCAGCTGTAAGTATATATATTGTTACTCATATGACTACTGCTCCCAACAGCTCCCGTAATGGCAGGAGTCTCCAGGATTTAATGTCTGAGGGTCTCGTCTTGGTATGGGGGAGTTCAAGGAATTTAAAATGTAATTTAAATAGCATATTTTGATGTAAAGTATCAATAAAAATAATTTTAGTTTTATATAACTAGATATCAGATCAGCAAATTGTTTATATGTTTTGTTTATCTTAAATTAACTGGCTGAATAAGTGATCTAAAAGGTAATCACGAACTTGTAATACCATATAAATTACAATTTACTTATTGCTTTAATAGTTAAAATAGTTATATCTGTTAACAACGTATCAAGGAAAAACTCAAGGAATTTTCAATAAATTCTCAAGGAAAATATTATTTGAAAGTACAATTCTAAAAGAAATTTAAATATTAATCTGGGAACCCTACATATTACATATATATATTATATATAAATTATAGTATATTTTAGTACATACCAATTGGGTCAGCCAAGACGACATAAGTGGTGATGATCAGTACGGCTACCAATATTACCACAATTATCTTTGAACGCATTTTATTTATTGATTGTTTTACGTTTTATAGTTTATAACTGAGAAAATGTAATTTTATGGTTAATGTATGAGACAATTAAATGTCAATATGGACGACCAGATGGTTTAGGTAAAACCAAATTAATATATGCTTATAGCTATAAATGTGTGTACGGTATTACTGTATGAATATTAAAACTTATACAGGAAAATTCATAAACAAAATTTTGTTAATATTTTGTCACTACAATTGCGTTCATTAAAGTAAATCATTTATAACTATGACGTCGGTGGAGCGCTCGGATATACCCTGGGTATGAGTTTGCAGTTATAATCCACTGTTTTACTTGATGGACGTGCGAACACAACCCGCCAATTCAGGTATATAAATATGTTTGATTATTTAAGTTGTTGCACATTTATTTATATAATGTGATAAATTTGCTTGTTTACAAATAACTAATTTTTAAATTATAATTGCGTTAAATTTATATTTGTTTGACTTTTAAGCTATATTATTTGACTGATAGTTTGTACATAACAATATAATAGTATACATGTATTATTATTTTACAATAGCCGTATTAATTAGATAATAACAAGAGTTATTTTAAATAACTTATTTAAATATGAGTAGATAAAAAAATAAGTGCTATTTTAGTTCAAGTTTGCAATAAAATAAAAATAACAATAAAAATACAATAAACATGTTTATTTGTAAATTGTTACATTAATACCAATGGGTTAAAAATATTAAATTATATATTCATTGCATTTGTTAATTAAAATTTGTTGTAAAAATAATTTGTTTATTAGCAAATAATTATAAATTGCATTAATAAATATGCTAGATTGTACAATTTAGCACTTAAATAACCTTGCCAATACTAAATAAATATTACACTCAAACTTTATATCAATGTACAATTATAAAATTGTAAGTTAATTAGTATGATTATACAGTACTTAATAAGTACTACAGTACTTATAAACAGCTAAATTTATGTCAAGAGAAAAAGTATATAAATAGAGTAAAACTACAAAAAGTCATACTGTATTAACTTTATTGTTATATAAATTGTAACTTTAGTTATTGTCATAAATATTAATTTCATAATAATCCCTTCCCCTATTTTTACTTAAACAGACAAAAAAGTGCACACAAATACAACAGTAACATACAATAGGGGATGTGTAACAGAGTTTGTGGAGGGGGCTGACGGCTAGTTATTATTATTTAAAAATTATTTAAACAAATATAAACTCAAATTAATATCTAATAAAATGCCCAAAAAGTCATTGAAAGCGCTATTCATTCCGGTGGACGGTATCGGACACGTGAACGCATGCATTGGTATCGCTGAACAGCTAATAACGGCCAGACATCGGGTGTCGTTCCTTATGAACACCCAATGGGAGGGCAAACTCAAACACTACGGTATCGACGAAATACTATACCCGCCACTACAGGGACGTCAAGCCGGTAGCAACGCGGCGCTGGACGGGGCAAATATGTTGCGAAGTTTTGGCATTATTGGTTCAGCCGGGCCACTTGATACCATGGTGGCCTGGATGACCAAGTTGGTCCCATATTGCATAAGGGATTCACGGCTTATGGACCCTATTGTTGATAAGGCTTACGCCGATTTACAGCCCGATGTAATATTTATTGATCAGGTGGTGGCCATGGCCTCAGTGGAGCGTTCGGGTATACCCTGGGTATGGGTTAGCAGTTATAATCCATTGTTTCAGTTGTACGACGAGCGCACACCACCTCCCGGCTCAGGTAAACAACAATTTTGTTATGATTTATGTTATCTAATTGTAAATATTTTTAATTCAGGAAAAAATAATAACATTTAGTATATTTAAAATTAGTGTAACTTATATTTTAAAAGTAAATTGATAAAATGGTTAAATTTACCTTTAAAAAAATAATTAGATAAAAAATTGATAATTAATAATTAATCATTCGCGGAACAAATTAATTACTCATTTAATGACAAACTAACAATAAAATGCTTAAAATAATTATTTCATCAAATATTTATTTAATAATAATTAAACCACATTACGTAATGCTTAATTGTATTTTAAAAATCGCTACATATATTATTGTAAACCAAATTTATAAATAGTATAAATGTAATTATACTGTATAAATTATATGTCTATATTTAAAACTACATTTTATACAATTCATATCATAGGTTTAGCAGCCAATGGTGACCGTAAAGAGTGGGCGCACTTCAGGCACATCGTAAACGATGCCATTAAAGACATATGGCGTGAGTTTAATGACTATTTTGTGAGCAATGGTTTACCACCGCTTGATTACGGCCAGTATGTGCGCCAACCGACACATCTACACATATACCCACTGCCCGTTGAACTGGACTACACAGACCTGAGACCAGTGCCCGATAGCGTGACCAACTCCAGTTTTAGAAAAAGAGAATTTTTGACTAATTTTCTCGGAATTTTAGAGGACAAATAGAGGACACATTTTTAACGCCGGTTTTCATATGAAATTTTAACCTCAAAAATTAAAATAAATTTTATTTTCAAAAATTTATATTGATTAATTTATTGCTAAATGGTAAATAGATATTGAAATGTATACATATTTAATTTTTAATCTATTAAACTAGTATTATTTGTTCTAATTATTTATATTTATCATAAAATTATCTTCTAATTCAACAAAAAGCTTTAGGAAAAAGTTCCAACAAATCTGCCTTATAATTCATATAAGATACTGTATTTAGCAATAATATTAAGATATAAGGTATAACGGCAATACTAGACCTATAATTAATTAATGTTCTAGCTCATTTCTGTTCATTTAAATATAAATGATCACTAGATACAATAGATCAAAAATTGTAACTTGTAAATTATATTACGCCTTCGGGAAAGTAATAGCATTTTTGTAATGAAAATTTTAAATTATATTTTTAATATGAAGCAATAAATTATTTTATATTTTGTCTTGGCCATAATAATTGGTTGCTATTAACCATTTTTCGGACGGTCGTTCAGTGACTTTCAATTAAAAATGGCTGCATTGAGAGCCATAGAAGTGAGTGATGTCTATCTCGACCACTACTTTTATTTTACAATTTCTGTCATACAGGGCTGACTGCAGAGAAAGATTAAAATACGTTCAGTGACTTTCAATTAAAAATGGCTGCATTGAGAGCCATAGAAGTGAGTGATGTCTATCTCGACCACTACTTTTATTTTACAATTTCTGTCATACTGGGCTGACTGCAGAGAAAGATTAAAATAGTCATCTCATAGAGGGATAACTGGAGTATATTTTAGGTGTGAGAGAAATTATAACAAAAATTTATTTAACTTTATTTTGACGATTTTCGAAAAAATGCGGTCTAAAAATAGGCTAAAAATGGCTATATTTTGGGTATATGTCTTTTAACCGGTACGGGGAATCTTCCCAATGACTTGTATATAGTTCCAACTAGTTGTACAGAGTAGGCTTAAGTATACCAACAATTCCATATATAAATTTTTTGAATCGGATTTACCCCAGTCTTTTACCAAAGTATTTACCATTTCACGGGGTCGGCGGGTTCGGGTGCGGTCTTTGTAGTCATAATTACCGAATTTAAACCTATTAAGCACAGTATGTCATTGGTTAATAATCAATACATCTACTAATACTATTATATTGTTTCTGTAAGTCTATTGTGTAATGCTGTAAATTGAAAGCTAAAATTAAAAAAAAATTCTAATTGCTCGCTACAGTTTCTTTTAAGTTAAATCAGTACTTATTAAAACAAATTTAATAATTTTTAAATATAGAATTGAAGCTAAATAATAGATGTATTAAATGACATTTAAAAGGGTTTATTGGAAGTAACCACAAAAATTTGGCAAACATCCAAATATACCGTTACTAAACACTGCGGAAATATAAACGAAACCCCGATATTTCTATATAAAAATTATAAATTAACAGACACAATATTTTATATAAATTTCGCAATATTTGTTAAATTGAACCAAAAAATTTTAATTTAATTCATATATTATTCCGATTTATATTCTAATTGAGTAGTTGTTATCAATTTGTCAATTTTCAAATTGTGTGCAATATTTAATTTCAATGTTATTTCATTTGAAGCAATTTTATAATAAAAACATTTGTCTTTCAATTGTAATTAATTGTCTTTTAAAAATATTAATCAATAAAATATGGTTTAATAATACTAGGCTAACAAAAATATTTCGTTGATTTTCATTATAGTCTTATAAAATAGTGATTTATATTTAAAAATCTTTAGATATAAAAATAAAACCAAACCAAAATGAATCGGTTATTGTTTTGTTCAAAATATACAATAAACAAACACTTTGAATAGAAATTCAAAAACTTTATTTACAGCAATTTATTACAAAAATTTTATAATATAATAAAAAATGTAATTAAATTAATAAAATAGTGAAAATTAATGAAAATATAAGTTAACAATAAAACCAACAAATCATGTCTAAAGTGAGAATCGAAGAGTGGATTGACTGCACAACACATGCATAACATTAGATATTAATATTAAAACTGAATTTAAAACAATTAAAATGTAAATTTAAATTAATATAATTTTATATAATCGGTGGTCACTTCCTCTGCAGCCATAGCCTCATTTCAATACCATTTATAGATTCATTTAATGTGCGAACGAAATAATGCTAAAAACAATCCATTTAATTATGTAATTATTAAACAGACTTTTAATTAAACTATAAAAATTGAAACATTAAATACAATTAAAATTAATTTAAATTTTGTGGACATATTTTTTATGGAGACGAACATTAGGCTTATGGGCCGCTCTGTACTGACACGCGGGCCAATCGCACGCATACGGCTTCATGTTTTTATGGACATTGATGTGGTCAGTGAGCGCAGGCTTAGCGGCATATCGTTTACCACATTCGGGCCAATCGCAGACAAACGACCGCTTATCGGGAACCACGTTATGGACGACGCGCTTGTGTTGAGGCAAATTGAAGCCAAACCAATCACATTGAGGCCAATCGCAACGATTCCGTCGGTTGATACGCGGCTTTGGCGACCAGTGGTGAACCGCCACCCGATGCCTACGGAGTTGGCCATTGGTCTTAAAACGATCGGCACAGCCGTCGACACCGCACTCCTGGAAGCGCTCAGTTTGATGTAACTTCTTGTGTCCGACCAAACCTTGTGTTGACTTGAATCGCTTCCCGCAGTCGTCGCACACAAACTGTCGGTCCGTGGGTTTCCGCGGTGTCCGGCGGTAATACCACGCGGTCTTTGTGTGCACTTGATCTACATGTCGGCCAACATTGCGGCTCTTAGTGGTCGTGTACTCACATCCGGGCCAATAGCAGACGTATTGATTATCACTGTTGATGTTGTGGCTAATGGTGTGATAGGATAGCCCACGGGCTGTCACATACCGTTTGTCACAGTCGGGCCAATCGCACGCGTAGGGTCTGCCGGTGTGTTTGCCGCTGTGTTTGTGTTTATGCATATGGCGGCCAACAAAGTCACATCCGGGCCAATCGCAGCGCCGCACACGTCTGGACGGATAGTTGGGTCGATTGTGAACCGCCATCCGGTGTCTGTGCCGTTGCCCACCG